CACCACTTGGCAAATGGAATTTAATGTTAATAAATGCCATGTTATGGAATGTGGAATAGGAGAACATAGACCCCACACAACCTATATATTATGTGAGAAATCTTTGAAGAATTCTGATAAAGAAAGAGATCTAGGGGTGGTTCTAGATAGAAAACTATCACCTGAGGACCACATAAAGAATATTGTGCGAGGAGCCTATGCCACGCTTTCTAACTTCAGAATTGCTTTTAAATACATGGATGGCGATATTCTAAAGAAATTGTTCACGACTTTTGTTAGGCGAAAGCTAGAATATGGAGCAGTTGTGTGGTGCCCATATCTTAAGAAGCACATCAACAAACTGGAAAAGGTGTAAAGACATGCTACTAAGTGGCTCCCAGAACTGAAGGGCAAGAGCTACGAGGAGAGGTTAGAGGCATTAAATATGCCAAAACTAGAAGACAAGAAAAAGAGGTGATATGATCACTACATACAAAATAGTAACAGGAATTGATAAAATCGATAGGGAAGATTTCCTGATACCTGGAACTTTAAGAACAAGAGGTTATAGATTTAAACTAGCTTAACACAGATGCCGAAGAAATATAAGAAAATTCACTTTCGCAAACAGAGTGGTAGATGGTTGGAACAAGTTAGGTGAGGTGGTGGTGGAGGCGAAGACCGTCGGTAGTTTCAAAGCGTTATATGATAAAGAGTGCTGGGAAGACGGGACACCACGAGCGTAGCTCTCATCCTGTAACTACACTTAGGTAATTACACTCACTCTCACACACTCATACTCATTCTCTCACACTTTACGATAATTTTGCGAGGTTTAAAACATAAAGTTCAATATAATCTGGTTTTCATACAGAAATTATTCGTTAATATAACATCATAATAACGTAACGATGTCGTGTAAATAACTTTATACTGACGTCATATAAATGTTATATTTGTTATAAGAACATAAATAGGGTAGGTTTACATAAAGTAAAAAAAAAAAATGTTGACTTAAAATTGTTTATTATTAAATATAAAGCATGAAAACATTATAAGTCCATAGCATTCACTATTTTTAAATTTTTACATAATTTTTAAAAAACTGTGTCCCAAGAATGTGTTTTTAGTTATCTCTAATGGTTTTAATAACGTCAGAAATACGCATTTATGTCAATAGTTACAGAATTACCTTTGTGGCACCATTTATAATGGTCTACAAATGTTTTGTGTTTGCTGGGCTATGCTCGTGGTGTCCCGTCTTCCTAGCACTGTCATATAAAGCTTTGAAACTACTAACGGTCTTGGCCTCCACCACCTTCTCACCTAACTTGTTCCAACTGTCTACCACTCAGTGAAAGTGAATTTTCTTATATTTCTTTAGCATCTGTGTTTAGTTAGTTTAAATCTATGACCTCTTCGTCTTGAAGGTCCAGGTCTCAGGAAATCTTCCCCTATTAATTTTATCAATTCCTGTAACTATTTTGTATGTAGTGATCATATCACTTCTTTTTTTGTCTGTCTTCTAGTTTTGGCATATTTAATGTCTCTAACCTCTCCTTGTAGCTCTTATCCTTCTGTTCTGGGAGCCACTTAGTGGCATGTCTTTGCACCTTTTCCAGTTAGGTGATGTGCTTCTTAAGATATGGGCACCATACAACTGCTGCATATTCCAGCTTTGATCTAACAAAAGTCGTGAATAATTTCTTTAGTATTTCGCCATCCATGTATTTAAAAGCAATTCTAAAGTTAGAAAGTGTAGCATAGGCCCCTCACTCAATGTTCTTAATGTGATCCTCAGGTGATAGTTTTCTATCTAGAACCACGCCTAGATCTCTTTATCAGACTTCTTTAAAGATTTCTCACATAATTTATAGGTTGTGGGGGTCTGTTTTCCTATTCCACATTCCATAACATGGCATTTATTTACATTAAATTCCTTGCAGCAGATACAAAAATGTATCTGTTGCATATAGCAGCAGATACAAATTACATGTAGTCGGCTCAGAACTTAAAGCAGTTGTTGTTGTTGTTGAGGATTCAGATGTGATCTTCTTTAGGATTTGTTGGTTCTCCGGGGTGGGGGTTCTCGGACTTTTTGAAAGGGTCGTGTCAGGGCTCTGGATTCTGGTGGGTCCTTGGTGCCAGCTTCTGAGTCTGTGCTTCCTTTGGAGCCGGTGTTGTTTGGTCAGTGCAGTGCTCTCTCAGCTCATTGGCTGTCTTCCTAAGGGGCGCTGGCCCTTTTGTGGGTCACCCCATTGACGGGATGTTGGGGGTGGAGGCTGGCTCTGTTTACCCACACTTTCTCCCACGATTCGTGGGCATTTCAGGTCGTATCTTCTAGCCTGTTGTGGCATTGGCCAGCTTCTTCTTCTATGGAAGGTTTGGGGCTGGTGGAGCAGGTCTCTTCCCCTTTACTCCGTTGGGTCATCTTGGAATAGGTGTACTTGGGCGTGGTCGAAACGACCTAGTCCCTCAAGTAGGTTTCCCACTTATTTCCAGTGTCGAAACGGGACTGTGCGGGTCTTTGGTTCATTCTGTACAGTACTTGTCCCGTCTGAACCGCTGGATTCCTTGCCCTTCCTTTTGGATGACCACTCTATCCCAGGTATGGCTTCTTTTGGAGCTGGGTTGTTGGATGGTGTGGCTGGACCTCTGGGATGCGTATTGGCACGTCCAGATTCATCTTGGGTTCATGGACTGGTTAGGTTTCGTGGTGGGGGCGGCATGCTTACCGCTTTCGGTGCCTTCCATTTGGGCTGAATCTGGCACTTCACATTTTCACGCGTCTGTCCCGGGTCGTATTGGCCCGTCTGCATCTGCCAGGTGTTCAGGTTTTGCTCTACCTCGACGACTGGTTGGTGTGGGCTCCCAGCCAGTCTGCTTGTCTGCTCGCCAGGGGTTTGATTCTTTCCCACCTCGCCAGGTTTGGGTTCTTGGTGAACTGAAAGAAGTCCCATTTGGTTCCGTCCCAGGTTTGGGCTTGGCTGGGCCTTGTTTGGGACACTCGGATCGCTTCTCTTTTTCTCTTCCCCTGCGGTGTTGCTGCGGTTGCAGTCCCACCTTCAGCTGTTCTTGAGGGGAGTCCCCAGGTCACTCAGCGGTTGCTTGAGCAGTTGTGCAGAAGATTGAACTTTGCCGTGGTCTACCCACTGGGTCAGGTCTGGCTTTAGTGCCTGTTCTGGTTCCTTCGGGGCCATCCCTTCCACGTGTGTCACAACTGCTGGGTTCATCCCTCATGGGCCTTGTGTCAGTTGCTGTATCTCCGGCTTCCTCCAAGGTTTTTTTTTGGGGGGAGGTTCAGTGCCTTGGCGCCTCTCAGAGCCCTTGCTTGATGTGTTCACCGACACCTCGTCTTTTGGGACGGCCTGTCTTTGTTCATTCCCGTTTCCACGGAATGGACGGTCGATGCTGACTTCTTCAGTTAACTCTGCCGGACAAATCCCCCCCCCCCAAAGGTAGATCTCTTTGCATTGGCATTGTCCCAGAATCTCCCAATATATGTGGCATGGCTCCCGACTGTGGAGCCATCGCAGTGGATGCTTTTCAGCAGGACTGGTCAAGGTGGGGTTACCTGTGCCTCTTACTCAGTTCGTCCATGAAGTTCATCCAGCTGTTGCTTCGGGGTCTGGCTCAGTTAGTCTTATTGCGGGAGTATCCTCCTTGTGGCCCCTTGGTAGCTGGCCCAGCCTTGATTTCAGTCACTGCTTGCTCGGTGTCCAAACCCCCAGAGTGTTTTCCTGACTGGTTCGATTTACTCCTCTGCTCATTACATCTGGTCTTTGACATGGGTGTATCACCACTTGTATGGTGATCAGGTGGCTTCATTAATGGTGTCTCGCCCCCCCCCTTCCCCTGCGGTCTTCGTCTTGGCGACAGTATGAAGTCTCTTGGCATTCCTTTTGCCATTTCCTCTCTCTTTGTAGGTTGTCTTCTGTTTCCATTGGGGTTGTTTTGTCCTTTCCAGGATTGTCATCTTCCCGGTGAGCTTCATGCTCCTCTCTGGCGCAGGGGTTTCTGCTCCTTTGGTCCTGGTGGACGGTTTGCTCATATGTAGTCGTCTCCTCCTTTCTGGCAAAGAACAAGATGGCTGGCTTCTGTAGGGGTCCGTAGGTCATTGATGCTTAGTTGGTTCAGCAGGGGGTGCATCATGTGTCCTGTCCAGTTGCAGCTCTTCACTGTTACCTGTGAGCTTCGGCTTCTGTGTCCGGGGATGCCCTTTGGGTTGATCCAACCTCCCTCTGATATTCGGGCACGGGGGGTTTAGGAGGTCGACCAGGATCCTGACCGCTCATTATTTGGTGAATATTCTGGGTCTGAGTCATTCTTGTGTGGCCTTGGGTTGTCAGTTACAGGCAGTTGTCTCATCTCCAACTTTAAGCAAGCAGTGCTGCCGCCGCCTGGTTAAGTCCCTTTTTTACCTATCTTTGGATATGTAGCTCCAGGGAGGCGATGGGCCTCCCCACAGAAAACCAGTGCTGAATGTTATAAAATGCCATTTTCTGGATAAGCCCTGGAGGCACCCTGGCACCCTCCCTCCCTCCCTCCAGTCAGCTGTTTCGTTTTTGATGCTCAGTTTCCGAACTGGAGAGTGGGCAGCTGGCACGGGGGTCTGGAGCTTCCCCTCCTGGAGGGGGCGGCAGGCTGATGACATTTGCTTGTTAATTTTTTAATTTTTTTGTTTTGTTTTTTTTGTAGGGAGTTCTGGCTCCCTGTTCAGTCTTGGATTGCAATTTTCTACCAGGTGGAGTTTGTTTTGGGATGCCTATCTTTCTGAGTGTCTAACCCCGGTCGATGGCAGATCGAAGACTCCCAAACACAGTGAGGGTTTTCATTGGGCCATTGCTTCCTGCGCCTCTGAGGGGGCCAGGTTCTGGCTCGTGGTCCCCGGTAGGCAGGCAGAACTCTAACTGAAGCCCCAGACTTAATATAGGTAATATCAGTTCGTTAGATCCAGGGAGCCTCCTGGGCTAACCAAGAAAATGGCATTTCATTACATTCAATGCTTTTTTTTTTTTCAGGAACTGCACCATCTGATTTGGAAGTTGGAGAGTTAGTGTGTGGTTTTGTGGTTGGTGATGGACAGTGGTACCGTGGTGAGGTGGTCAAGATTGTGGCTGAACTTGTAACGTTGCTCCTAGTTGACTTTGGCTACGAGGAGAGTGTTCTTCTGGTCAACGTCAGGGAATTTTCTGCCAATTTTATGAAGTTTCCTTGTGTTTGTGTCAAGGTGAAACTACATAATGTATCAAAAGATGACAGTGAAGCACAGAGGAAAATATCTGAATTGATTAAATCATCACCACAACTGATCATGTATTGTCGAAGGAAAGACTGTTTTGAATTTCATCTTTTTGATGTCCAGAACAATGTGGTGTTGAATGATGAGCTCTCATCACATAAAAGAACACCAGTTTATCAAGAGACCTCATCAGCAGCATCTTCTCTTCTGGTAAGAAAACTCCCTCAAGAAGACATCAACGCCGCCAACAAGTGTTCTTCCTCTTCAAACATCACTAATTTCCAGTCCTCGACAAATCCTCTTGACCAAAAAAAGTCATTCCCTAAAACAGGGCCTTTCTCTCCACGAAACTTCCCTGAATCCAAGAAGTTGTCCATTCCTACTGATTCAGTATCTTCAGTAAAGCAGAATACACCTGAAAAATTGCCCATGGAAGCTCGGCTAACCACGAGTCCTGCAACAGACTTGATCCACAGTATGGCTAATAAAAACCTCTGTAACCCTTCCAGTGCTTCAAATGATACACCTTCATCAGCCATCCAGCTAACCAACCCAAAGGCCATTGTTCAACAGAATAATGGTAAGTGCTGCATTGAGTTTCATACTTAAACTACCTTTATTCATTATTTTAAGCATATCTGATAAAAGGAAAAATATTTGTTGAATGAAACTGAGAAATATTTCTCTTTAGTGTTGGAGAGTTGTTTGTTTCATTAGTTATTTGCATCACTAGTTATTACCATCAAGTTGCATATTTATGCTAGCTTTTAACCAATGCCTCTTACAACTTTATTTGGAATTTGTGTAAATACAGCGGGGCGTGGATTTATGATGGTAATCCGTTCCCAGAGACATATTGTAAGTCGAAACAATTTTTCCAATAAGAAATAAAGGGAATTGAATTAATCGTTTCCACACCCCCAAAAATATTAACTTACAAATACATTTTATGCTGATTACAATTTTTTTCTCTAACTACAATACATATGTTTATCTTACCTTATGGAGGACTCTTGATGTCGTATGGAAGATGGTGAGGAGGAGGAGGAGAAGAGGTGTTACTGTTTGGAACGGAAGTCCGCTTCCATTATAACATCAGGGAGTGAGGACTTCTCTGGGGTACTCTCTCTCTCTCCTACGTTTTGCCTGCATACCACTAGGCCTTGGTTGTGATTCACTGCTTGTTTGTCTCACTAAAACCTTTCCATAGATTTTTGTTTTTCCACATGTTTCAATTTTTGTCTGTAGAGATGCATCACAGTGTCATTAAGAAGGTTAAGGCAACGGCCTACTGCACTGTGGTTTGGTTGAGTTGTTTCAGCAAAAGTTTGCAATTCTGCCCATGTTGCACACATCTTCTCAACACTTACACGCCCTCCACGAAATGGACTGGACGTACCCCCAGGTGCGCTCGACGTTTTCGGGTGACCGAGTGGCAACACTGAAACGTGCATACTCTTTTCGCTGTCCTGACCTTAATTTTCGATGTACAGATTTCATTTTTGTACCAATGTGTTCGCAATAGAATGATCTATAAGAACATATGTATATGTCACCAAAGCATGAGTTAAATCACAGAAAAAGCTAAAGAACTACATCGATCACTAGCCGTGAGCTCCAAACAGCGACGAAATGTTTTTATTCTTTTCAGGGTTGTCAACTCCACACTTGTCCTACAGCGTTAAATTTGGTATCACTGTGATGGCAATTAAATTCCCTACACGGACATATGCATATAAATGTAGAATCATGATCGCGGCCCACACCAAGAGTGTGTGAAGTGGGCGATTACACTCGCCGTGTCAACAATACAATAGTCTTTCCACTAAGTTACAATACAATGCCGTTCTCCCAAATAGGCCATGTGCCTATTAGAGAAAACGGAAATTTAATGGCAAACATTTTCATACTATCCCCAAGTCGATCGAATAAGAATTGGATTTTATACAAATATTTTTTAATCGCGCGTAAATTTACGACGCTACAGCAACTAGTGGTCAAAATACCGGTATTTACGCGTCGTTTATATACGACCCAGGTGCACTATAGTGATTTATTAATTAATAAACACTCTTCGCTGTGTTCCTCCACCAGCTCACAACACTATGAATGCCAATTCTTTAACTAAATTTGTCAAACCATCCCCTGCTCGCCTTAAACTCTTTCGCATTTTCATCACTTGTTCCAGGGGTTTTCTTTAAAAGGTCTTCATTCAATTTCCTTGCTTTTTCACAAATGATGGCCTCTGAAACGCTATCACCCTCTAACTCCTTGCTGTGTATCCAAATTAATAATAACTGTTCAACATCCTCAAGTGTTTGTGTTCTATGTTTCGTGATTATTGATACGCCTTTTTCCACTTTAGCACTCATAATATCCTTTTTCTTAGCAAGTATGGTGAATATCGTTGACTGAGATTTGTTGTACTGCCTAACTACTGTAGTTCAACAACCCCGCACACCATCTTCATATTTATGAATGATCTCTTGTTTTTGCTCTATGGTCATCCTTACATGTGTTTTCATATGTTGAAGCTTACTACTGTACTGACTTTCTTGGGACCCTTGGCATGATATATATTAATCAGTTATATGTTTAAAAAGCAAAAAATCACAAAAAAAAAAAATAGAATTTCTTATAAGTGTGATCGTCACTAAGCAGGCGGCTCTATTAAACTGAGGCAGGTCGGCCCGTCAGCCTGTGCGACCGGGAACCATGCACTTGGTCGACCCGAACGTTTATCAACAAACATCGTTAGTCAACGACACTTATCGTAAGTCAAGTCGCATTTTCTGATCAACTTTATATTGTAACTCAAAATTATCGTAAGTTGGGGCAATCGTAAGTCGAGGTGCCACTGTATGTGACTGTATGCTGTTTTGATTATATGATTTTTTTAAATTGATTGACATTAAGAAATTTTACCAGTTTCTGTGTGGGCTTGGAGAAAGTTGTAATCCTGATGATATCTATGTAAACAGTAGTGTCCAAGTGGAAATCACCGCCTTGGTATACTCTTGCGGTCATGAAGCACCTCACGGTAAGGTATGTAAGGGCACGAGCTTCTAAGCTACACCCTAGAATACAAACTATCGAAACCCGTCCTTACTTCATGGAAATATTAAGGAAGCCTAAAGTCTACATTAGCTTACTTCTGACAGTAATCCAATAATCTCACATACCTGGGCACACACACTTCACCTTCTAGGGAGTCAAACAGGGTTAAGGTAACAAACAGGGGAAATAAGAGTGTGTGATCTCTACACAGGGTTTTATTTTTATGGCTTAGAGTTATTTTACAAAGTTTATTTCTGGAATTTAAAGTTACTTTACAGGATAACTATTAAAAGTGAGTGATAGTGATAGGTTCAGAGAATGTGTACATCTCATAAAAATTATTTTGAATACTGGTCCACTAAAAGCGGGACTTTGAAGTAGTTACGTTTCTTTACACTCTTCTCACAATTCAACTGGTAAATGCTAAATACAATAACTCAAAGCCAGGAAATTGCAGTGATGAGGATGCAAACTTTGGTCAATAAGACAAGACCTCTCAAAAGAAGACAGAAAAGCTGAGAAGGAACCTTGATGAAGTGAAACGTCAAAATGGGAATAGAAATTAAAATTTCTTTTTTAATAATAATAATAATAATAATAATAATAATCTTTATTTAGCTAAGGTACATACATAAAGAGATTTACAAAGTTTGTTGGCTTTATAGATAGAGCTAGTACATACAATGCCTAAAGCCACTATTACGCAAAGCGTTTCGGGCAGGAAAAACATTAATGAATACAGCTTAAAACTAATGGGTAAAAAGAAAAGATGTGATGAGTACATATAAAAAATAGAGGTAAAAGAGGGGGGAACATTGTTGAAAAAGCAGCACAAATACAATTACAAATTATTACAGAAAATTACATTCAAACAGCGTTGATTTGAAAAACAAAAAAACAAAAAATATACATGGGTTGACAACAGGGGGGTAAGGTGGGTTACATGGAATTTATTAGGTATAGCTTCGTTTTTAACTTAAACTGGTTGAGAGAGGTACAGTCTTTAACATGGTTGGGAAGGTCATTCCACATTCTGGGCCCCTTGATTTGTAGAGCATTTCTGGTTTGATTTAGTCGTACTCTAGGAATATCAAAACTGTATTTATTTCTGGTGTGGTGCTCATGGGTTCTGTTACCTTCTATGAAGCTTTTGAGATCAGGATTGGCATTATAGTTTAGCGTTTTATATATGTATAATACACATGAGAGAATGTGCAGTGACTTAATGTCTAACATATTCAGAGATTTGAGTAGGGGTACCGAGTGATGTCTGGGGCCAGAATTGGATATTGTCCTAATAGCAGCTTTGTGTTGAGTAATTAGAGGACGTAATTGATTTTGGGTAGTAGAGCCCCAAGCACAAATACCATAGTTGAGATATGGATAGATAAGGGAGTAATAGAGAGTCACCAGGGCAGGGCGTGGTACATAATATCTGATCTTAGAAAGAATGCCCACAGTTTTTGAAACTTTTTTTGATATGTTTAGAATGTGTACCTGGAAATTCAGCTTGTGGTCAATGAGAATGCCAAGGAATTTGCCATCTAATTTGTTACAAATTTGGGTATTGTTTATTTTGAGATTTATTTGATTAGAGGATTTATTGCCAAACAGAATATAGAAAGTTTTGTCAATGTTAAGGGTGAGTTTGTTGGCAGTTAGCCACAGATGGACTTTATTAAGCTCAGTATTTACTGTGGCATTTAGAGCAAGGGGATCAGGACTGGAGTAAATGAAGGTTGTGTCATCAGCAAATAGAATTGGTTTGAGGTGTTGGGAGGCATTTGGAAGGTCATTAATGTAGATGAGAAAGAGGAGAGGGCCAAGTATGCTGCCCTGGGGAACACCAATGTTGATGGGTAGTGTGGGAGAAATTGTATTATTCACAGAAACACATTGGAGCCTGTCAGTAAGGTAGGATTTGAGGTATTGTAGGGAGTGTCCTCTGACACCATTCTACAAAGTGTTAGGGACTGGAAAGCTAGTGAAATGGTACATGAAAACAAAGCAACAAAATCATTAGAAGAAGGGGGACTAAAGGACAAAGAGAAAGCAAACATGTTCCTGAAAATTTTATATACAAACATAGATGGAGTGAGATGAAAAAATACTTGAGGTAAGAGATATAATTCCTCTTAAGGTCCCAGATATTGTCGCACTAACAAAGACAAAACTTGAAGAAAACACTTATAATGAGATTGTATTCCCTAGGGGCTACTCACTTTAGAGACATGATGGAAAACAAGGAAAAAAGGGAGGAGTGGCTGTGCTGTGAAAGAACACCTGAAGGTAAGAGAACAAATCCACAAGGGCCTTGACAAGGATTCGAACCTGCGTCCGAGAGCATCCCAGATGCTGCCTTAATTGACCGAGTCGATTAAGAATAATGATTAAGATTAAGAATGTTCAGAATAATGTCATTTGAGACCGAAAACAATGATCTTAACCCTTGAACTGTGTAACGTGCCTGCAGGCCCACGTCTGCATATTTGTGTCCTTTACAATATGTATACAGTAGAACGT